TGTGTTTTTATGTCTTAATAACACATATTTTTAAAGAACATTTGCAATTTTAATTGCTTCTACCGTTTACCGATGATTCACCGTTCTCAAAATAGGACGTTAGTATATAATGGGATAATCCCCCCGATTGACAACTGTGTACCACATCAGTTTCAACAAAACTGTACAGAGGAAGACAGACACATATTCATGATAAGTTTCACTACGAGCCCGTTCTTGAATAAAATCTGGATCGTACGGATTTCGGGCTTTCCAGCTTTACCTGCGAGATCGTGAACAGTCAGGTTAGAATTTACCCGCACGTATCTCAAATGAGTGTGTGGGTTGTAAGTACACCGTGACAAGAATAATTATATTAATCGTGCACTAATTTTTATTTTAAAAATACAATATAGAAATAATTAGATGTATTTGGTATCTTCCTGTAAAATGCTTTTTTTACGCATTACTTCATAATCTGAGAGATACATTTAAAGTTACTTTATCTTTTGGTGAAGTTGCAGCGGTCATAGGATGAAGCACAATTGGAATAGTACTTGGGCAGATTTTAAAGTGGAAATTAGAGATGAGTTGTGCAAGACCCATCTTCACTTGCAGCTGACCAAATCTTAAACCTGAAACAATTAAATATAATAATTAAATAATAATGACAATAATACAAAATTATAGCCATAATTTGTATTGTGATTATTTTAATCTATACGATTTATGTAGTCACTATTGAAATGAGATGTAATTAAATAATAATAGTAATAATAATAATAATAATAATAATAATAATAATAATAATAATAATAATAATAATAATAATAGTTTAGAGAAACGTCAACAGCTGTGGCGAAGGCAGTTTCTCTAAGGGAGACAATCCCTTCAGGAATAACGTTCTGGAACTAACCATTTCAGACCTAAAAAGACTGGATTCATCCAACCCGATAACCAAGTCTGAAGATGTGTGACAGGAACTGTATAATTATCTCAGGTGGCAACCTGTCCAGAACAGTGCAACCAGACTTTCGGATTCTGGGCAGTCTGATCTGGCACGCAATCAGACAATCGGAAAAATTTAGCCAGAAAGAAAAACCTTTTTTGGAACTTTAAATATAAATTCATTGATACAAGTAGGAAAACTAAATAAACTTCAAATGATTCTAACAGCACAAAACATACAATTATTGACACTTCAAAAAACATGGGTTTTAGATGAAAACACAATGGATTTGGTTAACTTTTGACTCTATAAGAGTAAGACAGAAAAAAGGATTCTCAAAAACACACTACACTTAGGAATGGCTCTTGCAGTAAGCAAAAAGATATTGAACTTCAAACTAATGTCAACACTCTTAACTTTAGAAGCAAATTAGCAAATTAGTGACACACTAAAAGGCGCAAATCAAACATACACCCTTATTAATGCACATATGCCAATTAATGAAGAAAATAAAATGATCCAAAAAAAGTAAATGAAGCCTGGGAAACATTGGAAGAAATAGCTGCTAAAATCCCACAAAGCAATGCGAAAATTCTCTAAGGTGATTTTAATGCACGATTAGGCAAAAAAAAAAAAAACAAACAAGAAAACGATTGGAGAATATCCAGTACCGAAATGGACTAATCAAAATGGACAAAGATTTGTACATTTTTTAACTGTTTAATCTCAAAATTATGTCAACACATTTTAGAAAGTAACCTTTCAAGCAAAAGACATGGAGAGCACCGAATTCATGTATTGGAGGGTTTCAAATTTACCATGTAGAAATCTCCTTTCCAAGTTACAAGAAAATTATGTTCATGTCAGGAAAGTTGCAAACATAATTTCGGATCACTACTTATCCACAATAAAACTTAAACTGAAACCAAAAGATCAATTAAAAAGAAACCTCCAATCCCGAAATTTCACGTTGGAATTCACGAGTGCGAATAAGCAGTCAACAAGCTCGTCGGCCAGCGGGGTTTTCGCGAACCAGATATCTCACACCAGCGGTGCACCGCCCCAGTCTGGACACGCTCTAAACTGCCGACAGATCTCCCGACATGTGTGGTAGTGTAGCGCATGTAAGTGTGTGTAAATAAGTGATAGGACAAGGAAGAGGAAGGAAAGATCGCGTTCGGTCCGTGGCCTGATTGTTAGGATGAGAGTAGCCGCCTGCTGGGATTCTCCTGCAGACAGCGGCTGGACTCGAACCCAAGGACCTCCCGATCAGAGGCACGGAATATCATTTTTTAAGAAAATCAGCTGAACGGTTTAGCTAGCGTTGTTTACAGACCGACAGACGGAGGAAAAACGGTCGGACAGACGTTTTGCATTCATTCGATATTCCAGTATCAAGGACCCACAAAACATGGATTCTGGCTACATCACGTGTTAGAGGATTACCCCCTAAACATAGCAACTGGATTTATCCACTTTTACGTTACCAGGGCCCTGTAATAAGAGCTTTTTGTCGAAAATTCGCCGTTCTTACTTTACGAATGGGTGGCGACCCTCGCCCACATTACATAACTTTCTCTCCAGTCCGTAGCAAAGGAGCGTGTCTCACCGAGGCAGATG